TACATCTATAAGCACGTAAGGCTCCTTAACTCGATGTGGGAGAAGACATACGGCAGAGATCTTGTGAGGCCTGGGCCTATCCGGTTTGCTAGCAAAGATTGGACTACTTTGAATTGGCAAATTGAAAAGCTCCTGGTGACCGTGGCTTTTTCAACTACGATGATGACAATGGAGAGATGTTTGAATGACTACAACTATGGAATGAATTAGACGGGGAGAGAAAAAAATAAAGATAATGGACAAGAAAATGAAAAAGATGGAGAAAGAAATTAAAAATTTTAAGAGAGCTTTCATCGTGTTTTTTTTTTCATTGTTGTGATTTATATGTTTTGTTAGTTGTTGCGGTGAAGCTTTGTAATATCGCTTGATGTCATGGTATTATTGTGCTTTGTTTTCTTAATATGCGGTTCGATTTTGGAGGATAAGAACTTAATATGTGATAGGTTCTTCTATTTCAGATTCTATGAATTGTCTGTAATATATTCTAGGAAAAATATTACATATATTGAAGCTATGAATTTTCTTTATGAATCTCGATGAATTTTGGGGTATTTGGATGTCGTAGTAGCATAATATATAATTATGACTCTACTTTCTATTAGTTTGGGTATGTCTCTCTTAGCTCTATTATTTTTGTAATAGAATTGATCTAACTTAAAGAAATAGTGAATTTAATTGATCTTTTTGATTATTTGTTAGATTTTAGGGACAATACTTATTTTAACAAAATTATTTGTTAAATTCCATGGATAACAAGAAGTATTTTTAACATTCCATTGGAAGCTGTCTTCCAATGGATTCAACAACCATGCCATACCAAGCATGATAATTTTTCAAGAAATGCAAATTATAAGAATCTATGGATACTTTAATAATAAATTTCCACGGCATTCATGTCGCAACAAGAATCATAGGGGTATTAAAGCGAAAATTATACAAGAAAGTTTGAGTGGTCTTGCAATAATTTATTTGAGCCTATACATTTTACAAAATTCTACAATATAAAACTACTAAGAAAACATAACAAATTCTTAAGTGCTGTCGGTCGGAAAAATTATTACAGCACAACATGATTTCAGAATAGTATCATCAAAATTGTAACCCGAAAATCAAGAACATGTGTCAGACTTATAGAAGCTACATTGATAAACAACAATAAATGCCATAACATAATGATATTTTTATTTTTTTTTGTGGTTACACAACCAAATGCAAAATAACAGTTTTAAATTATCCGGATGTTTATCCATTCTTTGAGCAACGGTACCAGCACTTTGAACCTACATTCATACAGTAATAAAAAATAAATGAAAATAAGAGAAATTAGTCTATTACAACAAACCAAATTTTTTATGAGAAATACCTCAAGTAAAGAAGTAAAATTCATAGGATTTAGTGCCGGTATCTAAAAAAAATATAACATTACAAAATATCATTAATGCAATGATATGCAAATTAATTTTAAAATAAAAGAAACTGTCGAGATGTTTGATCAAGCTCCAACACAATGTCATACAACTAAGAATATGCCTTAGACGACTGCACAACAAGGTCAAGTAAGATTTTTCAATTGTGAAATCAAATTTAAAAAAAAAAAAAAAAAAAAAAAGCTAGAAACGACTCCATAAAATATTTAGTAATTGAAAAAATTACCTGTTACCAAGGAATTTGACCTCTTTGAACCATAATGCCATATGACCGAGGATATATATTATTCATCAGTAACTGCATAATAAATAATATTCTTAGATAAGTTATTAATAAGTTAAATATATTTTTATATAAACCACAAAAATTACCTTTTGCACAGGAATTTGACTTGGCTATAACACAATACTATACGGATGAATATACGAATGATGCATCATCGACTGCATGACAGAAATATATTTGAATACTTTAAGTTTAAGTACCAACTGTGGAATGATATATTGAATGAATATTTCGGAGTTGAAAAATAAACCTGTTGCCAAGGGATTTGATCAAACTATAACACAATGTCATGTGGTTGAAGGTAAGTCTCGTTCACGAATGACTACAAAATAGACAATATCATCAAGTAATCCTTCGACAATAAAATTTATTTAAACAATAATAATAGGGTAGCAATGATCTCTCGAATAACACCTCATTTCTACGTCTTGTAGGTTGTTTTTTCCTTCTCGAGTTTTTTTCCAATCCATTTGGCCTTTTACCCAAACGAATTCTTGTTTTATTCTGTATCTCTTTAACAAGGACATCGTCTTCTTTACTTGCATTCAATTCTGGATCCTCGCAATGCAATCCCTCGCAAACCACTTTATTATTTTGTAACTGTTTATTCATCTTCTCACTGGCGTTTATGAAAATATTTTTTATTAACTCGTATGTTTCTTTACCCTCGGAAGCTCTTGTAACCAATTTACTAAAGAACATACTCAAATCCTTATATCGGATGCTTAACTGTTTCTTAGGGTCATCGGTTTCTTATTCGGCGAAAACCATTCCATCATGTGAATCTTCAGTTTTTGCGCCATTCGTCCACCTCTTCATTATATATCGCTCGGAAACCCTCATAATATTATTCGTTATAAGAACTTTTAGTCCATGTGAGCATAATATCCCGAAAAAATCAAATTTCTTACGACTACATGAAATGGTCTCATGAGATGAGTTGTATGTAACAACATGAGTCATTGATTTTCCAAAATAATTGACCTGATATTCTGTAAAAGTGTCATATGCGTGACTAACAACGCCGACACAATCATAGGTTTTGCACAACTCCTGTTGAAAAATCTTAAACACTTATGGGGTATACAAACTTATAGGATCCTTGAACAATAAACACGGCATAGTTAGAACAGGTGCACTGGTACTTGCCTTGAAGTCAGCGTTCAGTTGTTCGTAATGCCGAGATTCCAACAAACTCTCAAACTTTTCAAAAAAAGATCGCAAACTGTTGTAATACCCTCGAAGTTGGGCCGGTGCTAGGTCAACTCCCGTGGATGAGCCGGTGTCAGAACATCCAAGGTTGAATATAAGTTAAATAGATTGAAGAAACTACTCATGTCAACAATATGCATATTTTTTTTTTGAGCCCTAATTATTATATTGACACCGAGGATTCCTCACGGAGGCATTGTTGAAATAAACTCGTCTACCCAGATTATAAATTTACAACAGAATCGAACTACAATTGTATTTTTATTTAATTGTGAAATATATTAATATAAATATTAAGATATTCTTATATTATATAATAATTAATACTATAGAAATTTATATATAAATACTTCATCTATCGTAAACAAACAACTTTTTTTTTTTTTTTTAATGAAATTCAAATACAAAATCTAACTGTTTTTTTTCTTGTAGTTATTTCTTAAACTAATTCAAACACGCCTAAATCATCAATAAACATATTATGGATTGCAAACAAAAGAAACCAAGTGTATTATGAGATAATGATATGTACCATATGAATTAATGTAAGTTTATATATTATATTAATATAAGTCTTATGTTATTTATTGGAAAAATAAAATATCTCTCTTTTTTATATATACTTAGTACTCATGATTAGTGTCTAGGCCAATCATATTATTTTCAGCGCACTAAGTCGTGGTATGATTTAAACAGTAATTTTAAATTTTATAATTTTAAAATAGTAAAAAATTATAAATTTAAACCATTGACCAATATCTTAAATCTAGAATTATTAAAATAATTTTAAGTTACAGTGTAAATTGTAGTAGGAAAAAAAATAGAAAGAAAATAATATAAAAAAAGTGCAAAAAATAGAATAAAATAAAATAAAACAAAATAAAGAAAGGTATTGGATATAAATTATCACCAAAAGCGTGTCCCGTGAATTTAGGATGAAGAAAACGCAACGGTTGGACTGTACGTGACAATTATGTGTTTGGATACAACAAATACGATTTTATTTTTTTTAATATATTTTGCTAACAAAATAAATTAAAAATAAAATTCATCAATATACATATATATATATATATATTTTGCAAATTTTTCCAATGTTGAGACAACACATTCAATATGTGTGGACATCACATATACATTACTCATGATTTACAATAATGTAATACAAATACAATAAATGAATTAACAACAAATGACCTACTATTATTGATTTCAGCGGCCAGTACATAAGACATTTTAAATTATATAACACATATAACATATATTATTATTGACATCAGTCCGTGAAATATGAAATATTTTAATACGATACAGACTGTTGTGTTAGTTGAAAATATGTGCTCTTTGACTATTTTTTATATGTTGATTAGAACTAATCATCATAATAACTCTCTGTATATTGTTTGGTTAAATGGATGTCGCATTATTGAGTATATCTTTTGATGGATTAATTTCATATCTATTGTTTGTTCTGAAATTCGATATTTGGCTTAAAATTTTTTATTGGGAGAATTGATGGGTTTTGTGTGATTCGATATAAATTTTCAATTGTATACGATAAATTTAAGGGAAAAATAACATAAATTGATCAAAGAATAAACAACGGTACTTAATTATAATCGATTATTAATCGAATTATATTATTTCTACCAAACAAAATAAGAAAATTTGCAAGAAAATAAAAGGAGATAAAATGATAGATTGTTGATGGATGTGGTTGCCCACACTATCAATCTTTTCCTCCTTCTTCTTCTTCTTCTTCTTTTTTTTTTTTTTTTTTAAACGTCTTCATCAAGTTTTGCATTAACCTTCCCCATTATTCATAATCCTCCATAATTGTTTTATAACACCTCTTTAATTGGCAATCTCAAAGATTTTTTTAATGATAAAATTTTGTATGAAAACCTCCATGTATTTTATTTAATTCAATTATTTCAATAAACACCAAAACCCCATTTAGTAAGTAACAAAAACTGCCTATTTTTTCCACCGTCATTTGAATTTTAACATTCCAATTGTCTCTATAGTCCCTGTCGAGAAAACGAGTTTCAACTATCAACCGAAAAAAATCAAAATCAACATCGGCCGTCCGATTCCTTATTCAGCAGACCATCGTGCGGACAGCCAAGCGAGTCCACCACATCTTCCCTGCTCCATCCCGCACTCAATAATCTCTCCGACAGCACCGTCATCCTCCTCGCCACATGTCCTTCATCCAACGGCCCATCGCATCCGCCATCGCGCTCATCGCAGCCGTCCATCATCACCATCTCCCGCACCTCCTCCTCCCTCCACCCCCCTTCCCTCAACCGCCAACACACCTCCTCCAAACAACCCCCCAATTCCCCATCCCACCACCCGCGCGTCTCCTCACGCGCCGCCTTGTTTCCCCCTCTCTCCGCCACTTCCGTCCAGAACTCTATCCGACGCGCCTCCGTCGCCGCCCACGCCGGCGAGCTCAACCAATTCAACGATGGCGCCGGCCGCCTCAAAACCTCCTCTCCGCCGCCGCCGGAGATTCCGAACTCCGATCTCTGGAAAAACCTCCCGACATCGAAACTCCACAGGCGGACGTCGCCGCCGCGGACGTAGAACACCGGATTCCCCGCCGCGCGCGGCGTCGCCGGAATGTAGAAGCTCCGGTAAATCGGAACGAGAGGCGGCGCAATTCTCAGGCGGTCCTCCGCCAATCTGACGGCGCGTTCGTCGCACTCCGGCCGGTCGCCCCAAATTCCGGTCCAGAATCGGTTTCTAGAAACTTCCATGCAGATTCCCCGGACCGGCAGAGCCGTGAGAATCTCGAGCTGCTGTCTGGACGACGACCGCCAGTTGGGGAATCCCGGCGCGACGGGAAGGCCTTCTCGGAGGATGGCGCGGAGGTCCGGCGGGAATGTGAAACCGTAAGCCGCCTCCGCGGCGGCGAATTCGGATTCCGATAGGCCCGCCGCCACCGGAATATCGGTGGCGCGGAGATGGTGGATCAAATTCTTGGCATAGGCGGCGTAGGAAAAGCAGATTCTTGATGGTCGTGGAGTCGGGAAATTGACATCCTCCGGCCGGCGGCGGCGGCGGCGGCGGTGGCGGTCTTCTATTGTTATCGTCATTGGGGTATACGTACAGATACGTATACGTATATTTTGGCAGTGATCAAAACGAGTTGATCGAGTGAGAAGGCGAGGTGGGAGGTTTGATTTGGTAGGAAGTGCCGGGAGTTTAAGACCGTGTGGATTGATGGTGTGTGGTTTTTCGGGTGGAGCTGTGGTCCTGGGTCTGTATAAGAGTTTTTGAGATAAGGAAGTAAACTAACTGTTTGACTTGGCCAAATTGACTTCTTATTGTCTGAAAAGTCCTTGGAAAATGACTCATGAGAAAATTGTGGCGAAATCGTTTTTGTGAAATGAATGTGTCTTTTAGGATTTTGATAAAATATTTTAAATATAAAATTAAAATTTTAATATAATATAATAAATAAAAATAAATATTTGATTTGATATATTTTGTAATTTTTTTTTTTTAAAGAGTAAAATTAAGACTAAAATTTCACTTACAAACACATTTTATCAAATGCTTTTGTATCATATCGCGAGTAAAAATAAAAATGTGATGTTTTGGCTCTGTTTCTCGAAGACAAGAATAATACTAAGTAATGTCAAAAAAAAATATATTTATTTATTTATTTATAAATATATTTTTTTAGTGGACAAGAACAATACTAAGTAATGTCAAAAAAATTTGAATCTATCATACTACAGTACCTACGGTATCACTAAATCATTTCTTACAAATATTCTGAGAAATATATAAATATATTACCAAGATGTGACAAAATTTTGAATATATTGAATGTATAAATAATTATACATATTTATAAATACGTGCAATATTAAAATATATAAATTAAAGGGTGTAAAAATTTTTTTTACTATAAATAAAAATGTTTACTTTTATGAACAAATTAGAAAGACATACTAAAATATATAAATTAAAGGGTGTAAGAATTATTTTTTACTATAAATAAATATATAGTTTTATGAACAAATTAGAAAAACATAGATAGATTTGGTGGACTAGACAATATTATTTTATATTAATCTAAAAATTGGTCCACGGTGTAATTAAAAATAATTTTATTGTAAAAAATATTCTTGTATATTAAATTATAGTTTTTTGTCTTTTATTTATTTTTGTTGGCTGGGTTGACAAAATATTTATACAGAACTGTGCTAGACTGCTTAACCGAATCGAATTTTTAATTAATCAAGCAAATTTGATTCAAATACAAATAATGTATATTTAATATTTGTTCGATTCAATTCCAATTTGATTTTTAATATTTTTTCAGTTCATTTAATATAGTTATGTTACTCTTTAAACTTTAATATTATACAGTATTATATTATATAAATTATTAGTAATAATATTTATAATTACAATAAAGCAAATATACTAATCTACATCTCTCCGTCCACCAATTTCGAACACTAATTTTTTTGCTCTTTATTTTATTATATTCGGCTCTTTGTGCACAATACAACTGGACAAGTCGTCCATTCTCCGCGTTATGCAACAACACATAATTATTCAATAGGAACGACATGTTTGATATACATATGTATGGATTGTAACGGCAATATTGCTTTGAATATTTTATGAATTTTATATCTGTCGATTTTAGTGAAATAATAATATATTTTGTTAAAAGAATATAATCAAGAATTAATATAAAAGTGTAGAGTTTTTTTTTTTTTTTTTTTCATATTACGAAGTAAGTTATTTATTTTGAATATTTTATGATTTGGATATTTCTCAATTTTAGTGTAATGGTAATATACATCATGTTATTGAATTCTCCTGTTAGAAAAAAACTTTGTTAAAAGAAGATTAATTTGTCAATATTTGTTTGTATTTGGTTACGTTTGGATATTTGCAAATAATATAAATATTCTCAATTAGCCAAAAATTTGGTTAATCAAAATTCTTGGTTAGAATACGCAGTCCCCTTTCTGTTCCTGAGGTTTCATAGGCCCAGGGTCGTAATTAAAATTATGAACTCCAAACGTAAAATATATCACAATATTTTTTTAACAGTAAAAAAATATAAATAATTAAATAAAATAAATTATATTAACATTTTTAGATGCAAATTCATCGATAATAGTATCAATATTAATTTTTTTAACATTTTTTTTTTCAATATATAAATAATCAAACCATTTCGTCGTTCTTGAGACATACATGATCTTAAATAAGTTCTTAATACTTTTAATTTTAAAAAACTTCTTTTGATTGATGCTACTGGTACAATAAATAAAATACGATAAGTTATAGAAACATTAAGATAACCACTCCCAGAAATATATAGATTTGTCTCGGAAAAATTATCTCGAAATCTATATAGATACGAGACAATTAATTGAATACTCTCAAAAATTGTCTCGAAACTTCTGCCGTGGTGGCCGTTTCATTGTGACAATAGGGAAAGTCACGGAATTGCGAGACAAATTGTCTCGTCCAATTAATTGAGAGAATATCGTGACAATAGATTGTCTAAAAAGTATTCACAAATGCCACTGAGACTATATATTGTCTCGAACACGTGACAACTTTCGAGACTATAGTTTATCTCAAATAACTGTGATACTTTTCGAGACTACATTTTGATTCGAACAGCTGTGACATTTTTTAGTTTATATTTTGTCTCTTGAGACTATATTTTGTCTTGAACGGTAGTGACAATTTTCAAAACTATGCTTTGTCTCAAAAGACCATGACGATATCCGAAACTGTATTATATCTCTAAAAGTCATCGCAATATCCGAGACTATACGTTGTCTCGTATAACCATGACAATAATAGAGATCGTATACAATGTTTTATCTCAAAATAATTCATAACAATATTTGATACTGTGTACTAATATTGTATCTCAAAATAATTGTACCAATATCCGATATTAAAGTTTGTACAATCTAATGAAAAATTAAATTAATTATTTTGGTTAGTTCAATCCTTATAATATTTTCATCTCATATACAAAATACGAATATTTACAGAAACAATTAATTGACTAATCCAAATAAAATTAAACTGACAGACAGACCTTTAATCCAATTTTAAAAAAATTAAAGACGAACAAAATAAAATTCCAATAGAAACAATTTTGACACTTTCTTCTAAGTGTTTGTTTGGGGATTGGATTTTAAATATACTATTCATCCGATTTTTTTCCCCCAAAAACATCCAATCAAACACCTATTTTTCATTTTTTATATTATATTAAAAATCAAATTTACATTCAAAACATCACATCAATACTTAGGGGACGATATGTTCTCAACACGCCCCCTCAGGTGCAAGTGGGTCTGCGAAACTCCGTCTCACCTAAAAGCTCGAACTTGTTAGGGAAACTAAGCCATTAGTTACATATCCCGCAAACGGGAGTTCTCAACACTGCCGATTTCAGGCTGCAACCAACTCTGGGGACATATTCTAACAACGAGTTCTTCTCCGATTTTCTTCCCCTTCGACAACCGCAGCAGTATGATCAAGATGGTCCACCAGGATTGTTAGGGAGAGAAAAGTGGATGGTGAAAAATAAATTACGTGTAGAATAAGTAGGGTGAATGAATGTGAATATGTATGCAAATAAATAGGAATGTGCAAAATAATTGAGTGAAAAAACTCTAGGCTGAAATTATGCATCTTTTTTATTTTGTATATTATGTATTTTAAATTTAAATTTGAATTATGGATAAATATATTTAATTAAAAAACTATTAGATAATTTTATTTACACTTGATTCATTAAATTTTATCATGTTGACTAATCAAATAGAATAAATTTGTTCACCTTCTTTTGTATAAATTAGTGTATATAAAATATTATACATAAAATTGTAATATTTAAAAATAATAATATAAAACAATAATAGTATTTATAATTAAATTTACACTACAAGTATATAATTAAAATTAAAGAATTGACAAAAAAAAAAAAAAATCGCACCAAAGCTGCAGCTATTATAAATAAATGGAATGAAATTAGTCATGATTTTAATCCGCGACATGAATCAAAATAAAATTGGTTGACGCCACATTCGGCATAAAAAAAATATTTTTCGCAACTTATTTAGAGACAATTTAAATTTCTGAAAATTTTGGATGATTTATTTCGAGACAACTTTTATTCTCGGAACATATTGTGTGATTCGTTTCAAGCCAACATATACTCTCGGATTACTTTTGTGACTCATTTTGAGATAATTCTTGTTTCCGGAATATTTTTTGCGACTTATCTCAAGATAATTCACTCTCGAAATATTTTGCGTAACTTATTTAGCGACAATGTGAGATAACATATACTCTCAAATTACTTTTGTAACTCATTTCGAGACAATTTATACTCTCGGTATATTTTTCTTAATTTATTTCGAGACAATTCAAATATCGAAATATTTTTTGTGACTTACTTTGAGAGAATTTTAATCTTGAAACATATTTTGTAACTAGTTTCGAGACAACATATATTCACGGATTATTTTCGTTACTTGCTTGGAGACAATTCATACTCTCGAAATATTTTTCATAATTTATTTGAGACAATTTAAATTCTTTGAATACTTTTCGTAATTTATTTCGAGACAATTTATTCTCTCAGAGATGTTTCGAGACAAATATGCAATAATACTTTGTCACAAAAGAACTTTCGAGATTATGGTTGAGAAAAATTGTCATAGTGATGTCTCAAACCATGATTGAAACTCTAATTTGTCTAAAAAAAAGATTCATTGACACATAATTATCTCGGAACTTGTTAACAATCAGCAGCTTTAGTAAATTTAAGAATTTTTGGCGACATTAACTTATTAGGTAAAATTATTTGCAAAATTTTAAATTCAGCAATCATTTCTTATAGATCAATATCAGAAATATTATTATGAGAAAAATAGTTGATAAAGCAGTACAAAATTCTCGTAACTCTTTATTGTTTCAATATTTTAATTGTTTTGAATTAAACAAAAAATCAAATATACTACTACCTCCGTGCGACTCTAAGAGTCTCATTTATTTTTTGCGTATTGATATTTCAATATTAATTATTATA